TATTAAAAGAGTACAAAGCTATGCTAATCATTCTACAGAGATTTCCTACCCTAGTCATAAAAAAACCATTTTATAGAGCAAATCCAAATTCCAAACCCAGTACAGCCTTACAGAGTGCCTTTTCTTGAAAAATACCATCTAAGCCCATTCAAACAATATTTTTTGTTTTCTTGATCTGGCCCATTCAAATAATTTAGTAAACACTTGGTCTGTATAACAGGACGGAATTCTAATCTTCCAAATCTTTTTTTCCTTAAAACCCAAAAAATCAACTTGGGCCTTCAAATCACTCCCAGAACACATGAATATTCCCTATCTAACTCTCCAACATCCAACGTCCCAAAGGTGAGAGCAATACTTTCACAATGTTTCTTGGGCACAAATGGTAACTCTAGCAATCAATTTAGGCGACGATCACATAAAATCAGAATAGAATATTAGAATTATGCACCTTTATTTGGAAAATTATGCTTAGATTGAACTAAAGGAATTAAGAATCACCAATTCCTGCCTCCACTTTCACCCCCTGCTCCCAGTCCCACGCACCCTGTATTCCTCAATTCTTCGCAGTTCATTATTTTAAAAACCATCACGTTATACTAATAAAAATTTACTTGACTTAGTATCTATTAATAAAAAAATCTTAATTTAAAGTCAAAGTTATGGGTTAAAAGCATTCAACCAACCACCATTATTTCCAAGCTAGGCACAGGTTGATGTCTCCCTTCATCATTAACAAAAAGCTAGACTTAAGGAACTGCTTGGCTTGATTTCACGCTTGAGATCTCTGCATTCGTTTTTTTATCGTATATATATTATCTTGTTGGCCATTAAAAAACTAGATTTGCCCTGAATTTGAACCCATCTTATAAAATGTGGTAGAAGAAGTGGTTTGTTTTTGTTCTGCCAATTGCCGACCTTTTTTTCACATAACAGCAATGAATGCTTAGTCAATCCAGGCGGCCACGGTCCCCTTCTTCTTCACCGACTAAAAAAACCTATTAATAATCAATGATAGAACCAAAAGCTGATCATAACCACAAAAAAGAAAAAAAAAAAATGATAGAACCGAAGAAACACCACATAAAGTCATTTTGTTTGTTTCTTTTTGGTCATCCACATAAAGTCTTTGGCCACGCACTGAAAGTCTAATTGAATAAACAAGGTATATGAATTGGTCTTGTTGAAAAGAAAGATTTATATTTACAAAGGAGACCCAGAATGTGAAGAAACATGATATTATCAAGCAATTTAAAACTTTTTTTTTTAATAGACAATTCAATAATTTTATTAAATGAGTATAAGGGTACACAAATATGTAATATAAGCAAAATTCACATCTCACAACCAAGGGTCTAAACCATCATAACAACAAATTACAATCAAAACAAAACCTGTCAAGGCCAATACTAGAGAACAAGACATGATGGAGCATTCCCTAGTTGAATTTTATAAAACAAGTAGTCTCCCATCTCAACAACCATTCTAGAGCATAACACCACAAACCAATGCAATAAATGACAGGTTGAAGATCAACCTTGTATTGGTGTTGCACATAGTTAGCCTTTCATATAATTCCATTAGTGCTGCATTTGCGAACAAAAATTAGAAAACGTCCTTATCCTACCCCCGCCTAACTTTATTTCCTTTGAATTCTATTTTTCATTCAACACCAAAGATCCTGCCATTGTAATACGTGTGACATCTCACCTAATCAGAACACCCCATACATCAATTGTAAAAACATACTCAAGTACACATCCAACAATCAAAACCCTGCATAAACCCACCACACAGGCACTAGATTGAATAGAAGAAACTCTAATCTTCCAACACTTAATTCCCTCTATTCACTAAAATCAAAGCATCCCAATAGCAAATAAACGTACTCCAACGCCAATCAATCCAGCAGCCAAACCCACTAAACATAGCAAAATTGCTTCAAACAATTTCTCAGATCAATTAAATAGTTGTGGCTATCAAATTGTTGTCAATAAATTAAGAACCCAAGAACAATACTCTAAGTTAGTAATAGAATTAAGTACCTTGAAATTATAACCAAACAAATTTTTTTTTTGCCAAAGCCCTGTATGGAACTTTCTCTCTTCTTCCATTCTTTTGCTCAGCTTTTATTTAGGGTTTATTTGGTATAATAGTTTAAAATTAATAATTAATGATTTTGTTTAAACTGTTAAAAATAAATGTTTGATAAACTTATTTGTTTCAAAATCACAATAAAATAAGTGTTTGGAAAAACATTTTATTTAATTATTTAGGTCTAACAGATAATGGTTAGAATTCAAATCGCTAGTGGATTGAAAAAATTATTTAAAATAGTTTTTTGTACCAAACCATTAATTGATTGAAATTTTTTAATTTTATTGACAAATTTATCATTTTTAATTTTTTAATTTTTTACTATGGTTTTTAA